GCTTTATTAGCCGTACTCTGTACAGTAACTGTTAAGAACTTTTTATTTTCTAAATAATGAATATATTTATCTGTTCATGAACTGACGACTACACATTAGATTGACAATTTATTACATGGCAAAGAAAAATGAGTGAAACAAACAAAACAACACGTCATTCTAAGTTAAACATGTACAGCAGGAGGAGCAATCTCTCTCCTCTTGTCTGTCTCAGTCCCACCCCATATGGGACTGTTGGTTGCACACTACTTTTCACAGTGCATTGTGGGATACTTTGAGTAAGCTATACAGGGTATAATAGTTCCCACTGTACATTGGGACAGCACTACAAAATGGTGAACTCACTATGAGTAGTGGGTGATTTTGGATGCAGCCTGAGTCGGCTTAAGAGCTCCCTCTGCAGTATGAAGTTCTTGACGTCCAGCAATTCGTAAGCATTGCCATTGATCGCGAGCACACAAATTGGCACATACAGCTGTCAGTCATGACGTCAAACCCCCTTTGTGTTGCATCAAATGAATAATTAGAACCAACATATCAGAACAACATATTTTGGGTTGTGCTTTGAGATTTTAGTTTGGCTCACATCCGATCCACTAACATGAAGGGGGAGGGGTTTATGACCTAAACTGCAGCCAGCCACCAGGGGGCAGTCGAGATGTTTCAGCTTCACTTTTAGCTAATGTATCACCGATCACCTGTATGCATTTCTGCACAAAGACAGTAAACATGAGTGAAGCCATGCCATATCTGAAGCTACTATTGTTCACAAACTGTCAATCTTGCATTGCCAAAGCTCCACTTCATCAATATCGAAGAGGCCAGCCATTTGATTGGTTGCCAGTGAAAATGGCACTCTCATACAAGTAACCAGAGATGGGGACTCGAGTCATTGTGACTTGGACTCGAGTCGACTCGAGTCGCTGTTTTGATGACTTGTGACTTGACTTGACAAAAAATAAAAGACTTGAGACTTGACTCGGACTTGGAAGTTAAAGACTCGGGACTTGACTTGACTTGACTTGAGACAAGATGACTTGAATGACTTGAGTGTTATTCACATCATGTTTTCGGTTAGAATATAAAATTAATAAATTAATTTAAAAAATAATATCGATTACCCAGTAGGAGCGCAGGCTGAGAATGGCATTGTCATGATTGGATCACTACCCTGTCAATCAGTCATGCCCTCTCTACGTACCTTACGTGTTTATTGGAGAAACAGGCCCTCTTATATCAGATAGCATCAACATGTCAGCGGGAGGGGTCCCGAGAGTCATCATCTTCGGCTTTCGGAATTACCATTATGATGGCAAAAGACGAAAAGCACAGTGCAAGACATGCGGCATAAACATCTCGAACAGCCAGGTGACAACTTCAAACTTTGTTCGTCATTTGAAGAGCCATTCTGCCCAGTAAGTGCTTGTCAATTAGCTAATATTATCTGGTTAGTCGGTAGTTAGCTAACGTTAGCTTGATACGATACGGGGGTGGGGTGGGGAGGGGGGGTGTATCCGTTTAGTGGAACTTGTTTTTTAATTTATTTGCTAACATTAACCCCAGAAAACGTGAGCAAACATTCCGACCGGTTCATCACAAGACCGGCTGTACATTTTATGAACGAGCAACACAGGGTTAAATGAGCTAAATAGGTGATTTTGGCCGCTGCCTTGGTTAGTGTGTGTGTGTGTGTGTGTGTGTGTGTGTGTGCGCACGCATGGGGGTCGTCGTCCCTGCAAAGTAAACATTGCAGCGATGAAGTCAATGTTTACTGACAGTTACTTATATCTTGTCTTTTCACTTTATTAAGATCAGATTCTGCAGGTAAAATTACAATAATAAGGTGACTTGACTTGGACTTGACATAACCTGTGACTTGACTTGACTTGACTTGCCCAAGAAAAAATGACTTGGGACTTACTTGAGACTTGAAGGTTAAGACTTGAGACTTACTTGAGACTTGAACATGTGTGATTTGGTCCCATCTCTGCAAGTAACCATAAGTTACCCATGGTTGGCCTGCAAAGACTAGTTAATATTGAGAACTTTTGTGCTTGAATTTCTTCTTACATCTGTACACTTGACGAGATGAAGGTCAGTCTACCCCAGCTGTCTGGAGTTCCTCTATGTTGCTTGCTACGACAGATAATATCCACTTGCCTATTGTAGCCCCTCTAATAGCTGATGTTCAGAGCTGTTTTTTATTGACCCCAGCGCTCCTAAAATCCAGCGGGTTCCTCTGCTCCTTGCCAGAGTGCTACAGTGCTTAATGATGCCAGATGCTGGCTCATATTAGGCCCAGTAGCTGTTTTGGGTTTTTTCTTTTTTTTTAACAGCTGTCCTGGCAACCTGCTCATCTGTTGGTTTACAGCGTAGACGGAGGGATATTTTCAGTGTCTATCATTCATCACACATCCTATTTTAATTACATGGAGTTCCTCAGAGGTTCATTCGGGGATCTGTGCACGTGTAGTCGTATTTAATATGGATTGTTTCCAGTCTTATCGTTCTGTTTTGTCCAGCTGTACATGTTATTTGCACTGGAAATACTTATGTATTCTGTATTTTGTATTTATGTCAGTCCACCTAGGCTCCTGCAGGCGGTGTAATTGCCTCAAACAAGTTTCTATGACATGATGCCTGGTTGGTCTGAAATACTGCTGTTTGTCTTTTAACTTCGACACCACACCATTTAACACCATTAACTGAGCGTGGTCTATCTTCACTGCATACTTCTGCATTGAATTGATGCTGTGCCTATGGTTTAGCCTCTGTATGGATGCGTACCTTACACCATAGTCTGACGTTCAACTTCCCAGCAATGTAATGTAGTGGGGACGCAGACTTGCTGTTTGTTTTTGTAAACTGAAAGCCTTTCCCACGATGGAAACAAACCTTTTATTTCAAAGATAACAGACAATAAATCAGAAAGACAAAAACCCCCACACAATAGCATTTGAAGTCCTGTGTGAACTTTTAATGAGCAGAGGAAATGTCCACTAGCTGCTGGTCTTATTGATCCAATGGGAATTGTGATAGGCTTATGCTAATAACATTAGCACATTGTATAAGTGGGGAAAACTTGTCAATCAAAAGACAGTTGTTTTGCCTTTGAATTTTGTGAATTATAATGAAGCTGAATTTTGCAATATTACTTTTGTTAAATGTTGCAGTGGATTTTGGCTTCATGAGAAGAGGAAAAGTCTGCTAGCTCTTAGGCTAATTTATGCAGTGTCAAATGGCATAGGCTTGTGCTAACAGTGTTAGCATGTTGTGTTTTATGTGCTAATTGAATCAATCAAATTTTACAGCACATCACAGAAGCTCAACACAGTGGCATTGAAACCCAAATGCCAGTTAGCATTTTGGAGGTGTAATAGCAGAGCGAGGCTATGACACAGGCTTTGGGTAGAGCCTATATATACAACTATAAATCAGCCTTAGATGTTCACACTTCCAGTTTGTAATGCAGGCTTCCTACTGCAAAAAAAATCAAAGTCTCAAGCCCAAACTGAGATCATCCAGATCAGATGACACTATTATAACATCATCATACTTTTTTAGTTTGTTTTCTACTTTCAAAGCTCTCCAGAGCCACTGAAGCCGTGCAATTGTTTTTAAAAGCTGAGCAGCGCTGCTTGTGACAAGTAAAGTTAGCTACAAAGTCATCAATGATTTGCCAGCGCTGCCCTAAAACTTTGGGTCAGCCCTCCCTTTGATGTCTGATCATCTGAACTGGACTTAAACTAATTTTCTGCAGTGCTGGATGTGTGTGGCTCTCTTCCTATCCCCGCTGCGTTATTCTATTCTCTTTTTATATTTTATTTTTCCACCCCATCATGAGTCAGACAGACAGACGGTAATACATGGATATACAGCGACACACTAAACCAACACAAATGTCATCTCATTCTGACTCCTCTGGCGGGGTCTCTACCTCCTGCATCAAATTCAGCCTTTAATATCAGCCAGCCCAATGCGGGGCACCAGCTATGAAGCTGTCATGCTGTTTTATCCAAACAGACTCTTCCGCCCCAAACGCTGTCTGCCTGCAAAGCCCCTGTAATCCAGCCCTGAAACTTGCCAACTTCCCAGAGTCACAGATTCACATCACCTTTCCCCTCGCTTTCATTACGTCACCTTTATTCTGTGTTTTTGAGCATCTCTTTCTAGCCCCACATCTTTCCTCACTCCTCGGACTTTCTTCTGCCTCCCCACCCATCTCCATTCACTTCTTCTCCTCTCCACTCCCATGACCTCTTGCCAACGCCCCAGGGATTTGCTCAGTTGTTGTGATGGCAGAGGATTGTGGGATACCAGCTGCAGTTTTAATGATTTTGCCCCCGGGCCCAGATCAGCCAGAGAAATACAGTTACCATTTTTCAACGGAATAAGAACTCTCACCCCTGCGACGCCTCTGCGAAATATGTGTGTGCATATGTTGTGAATTTGCATGTGAGTGTGTGTATTGTGCACAAACACTCAGACTTTTCATTTTGCATCTAAGAGATGTCGCCTGACTGGCTGCATTGTTTTGATCACTTTTGCACATATTAAAATGAATTAGCATACAGTTTTTGTAGCTACTAGCGAGACAGCTTGTGCATCAATGTGGGCAGTATTGTTGTTGAAGATGGAAGCTCATCTGACTGAATGCTTTCCTCCCTCTAATCTCCAAGTCTCTCTTTCTCTTTCTACCGCACTCTCCCTCGCTATTGCAGAACTGCAGCACGTCCTGCAAACACATTGCAATTAGCATCATGCGCTTCAGTGCATCCCAAACCACTCACTGATGAAGTTCAATCAATTCGCTTTAATTATAACTTTCTCAGAAACACCTCTAATCTCTCCAAAAGTTTGATCTCTCTGGGGTTTGTTCGGTGAAATGCTGTGGCAGGTAGTTTAAAAAGTAACCGTTTGGAAAGTGCCATGAGCGTGTGTGTGTGCACCGAGCCTGACTCGCCCCCTGTCTTTCTTTCTCCCCCTTTCTCTCCTTCTAGACATTGATGACTGCCAGTCTAATCCATGCCAGAACGGAGGAACCTGCATCGATGAGATCAACTCCTTTGTGTGTCTTTGTCTGCCCAGCTATGGGGGAGCTACTTGTGAGAAAGGTAACAATGTGGATGAAAACTCTGCTCTCCCATTTTACTCAACAATGGGGTGTGTGTTTTGTGGAAGCAGAGAGCGAAAAAAGAGGAAGAGGAAGACTGGGAGAAGTAAATTGACAGAGGATGGTGGAAATGATTGAGAGTCGTAGGAGGAGATGGCAAAAATGGATAAAGGAGGAAGACAAGGCAGAGAGGGATGAGACAAAGAATGTGGAGAAGCAAGGTGATGTGACAGTGGAGGTAGCACGATGAAGATAAAGAGGGGGAAGGGAGAGGAGGGGAGATGAGTGTGAGGAGGTGGCACAGGAGAGCAAGATGATGCTCGAATGTGGAGACAGAGGTGCAGAGCAAACAACGAGGTTGAGGAAGATGGAGTTAATGAGGGTGTGTAAATGGAGGCGGTGGAGGCGGTGGAAGTGGGAGGAAGAGGATGTGAATGTAGACAAAGAGGTGGAAGAGGAGGGAGAGGGAAGCCCTTTGGAATAATGCATCAGGTTTATACAGGACACCTGCGTCCAGCTGGTTTCTTTCTCTCATTACAGGAATTCCCCCGCGACAAGGGGGTTGCAAAGGAGGCTGTTCACAAACTGTATGTTACATGAAAACATGGCTGGCATGTTGGTGCAAAACGACGCTGAGGAAAACCAACAACTTTATTAGAGTTTGATCGTTTGAGTTTTGCACATTTTGATAGATAAAAATCCTGATTTTTTTTTTGTGTGTGTTAAAAGAAGTTGAGTAGACATTGTTACACTGACAGTTGGGAAAATACTTACAAAAAAAAAAAAATTGAAGAAATGAGGAAGAAATGCACATGAGCTGCTAGTTTGTGCCAGATTATCTGATGGAATGATTAAGCTACAAACTATTGCTGAAAAAGGTATTTTTAAATGTCAAAATTTTCACCAAAATTATTAAATTTCTTTTATCTGACTTTTAGCTTTTTTGTTTTTGATAATAAAAATGAACACTGTTAAATTCCCAGATATAAACATATACAATAAGTAGGGCTGCCCCCTAATGGTCAACGTGATGTTAGTCAACCAGAAAGGCCATTAGTCGGCAACATGTCATTGGTCGTTTAGTCGCAAAAAAATAAAAGATAAAATAAAACAAATATGAAACTCTATGAGGAGCTGTGCCTTGTCAAAATAGATCAAACCTATATGATTGGACAATGTGGGAAATTTGAAACGACAGACACAGGAAGTGGCCATGCTCAACAGTCAGACAGGAGTCACGTTACAAACCAATCACAGCCAACCAATATCTTTCCCTTCCTCTGTAAATATTCAGTCTGATAAACACGAAAAAGTTGATCATGTTAGTGCAGGGCTACCCAGAGCTTTACATCTGTCCCACGGACGATAGGCCTACACACTTATAAACAGCTCCAAAGACGTGGCATGTGTACGGCCTCTAATTTCCAGGGCTGGTACCTGCAGTTATTCCACAGGCTAGTTAGTAACATGTCGGGCAGGAAATCCAAAGTGTGGGATCATTTTGAGAAGGTGAAGGACGAACTTCATTGGTCAACTATCTGAAACATTTAAGTAGCTACGTGCCCATTACGACCTGCACTACCTCTGAGCCACAGCTGCCCCGAACAAGGGAAAGGAGGAGGGAACTGCTCTAAATTACATAAAACCAGTCAGGTTCCACTGGTCCAGTGTGACCTTTGACCTCAACTCTCAGAAGATCTGTCTTTTTTTGTGTGTGTGCGTCTGGCTTCCAGTGTCGCGCTCTGCTTTTTACAGGTCTGATGTGGGACTCTTAGGGCAGAGCGATCGATGAAGAGAGGAGGGGGAGTAGAGAGTGAAGCCAGAGAGAAGCAGCAGACTAAAGCAGGATATTTTTAATGCAGTAGACACTACAATAGGTTTGGCAGGCTCTATCAGATCTTTGCACTTGGCTTTGTGCGCGCTGGTTTGTTGGCTGAACTACAGTAGTTTGGCACAAACCAGCACTGACTGACTTTATCTGTCACTTTTCAGCTGGAGGTGACTCGTGGAAATGTGTGTCCTTTTCTCATCCGTTTTATCACCTTTGTTTACATCTCTGTGCTAGCATCTGTTACTAAACTTTCTAACCAAGCTTGGGTTATTCCCAGAACGGCAAAGTCATGACCCACCCAGCTCTCTCTGATTGGCTAGAACACATTGCTTTTGTTGCTTGGGTTGGTTTGGTTGAGGCAAGGGGAGGGAGATTTGTGAGGGTAAGAACATCAGGTAAAGTAATCAGAGGCAGAGCAAGGGCCGAGACCCATGCCATGAGGTCAGGTGCTGGGTGCTGCTCTTGTGGATACTCTGTGCCAACTTTGACTGGCATAAGGGAAGGTTGCACCGAATGTTACTAAGCAACCATAACCAGCACCGTATCATAGCCTACTTAACCAACACATTCTCACTCCGACCTCGTCACATTTTGACGTTTTGTCATGGACTTTCCACATCGAGATATGACATGCAAGGTACCCTGGGTGCGTTGGTTGTTGACATTCTGGGACGCCATGTCAACTTCTGCCTGTTACATGCATTGACTGTTTTCAAAATACACTTGAAATGTAAAGTTTGTAAAGAGTCTCTTTCAAAATATATGCACTACGTCTGTACAACGCTGCGAGTTCTTTACCTTCAACAACAAGCGCACATGGTCACCTATCGAACACCTACCTCCCAGGTTAAAGTCGGTGGTTGTTGGATCCATCCAACACCCCTCCCACCCGCCCTGCTTGGATTTACGCCTCCTCAACTCACATTGTTGTCCAGCCCCATTTCACCCTGATGCTGCTAGTCAGTGTTACACAATAATGGCAATCAGCCGCGGATCATGCCGACATGAATAGATGGCTTTTTATATCAGTGTCTAACACTGGAAGTCGATGCCCAAGCACCGGTATTTGATGACTTCAGATCGAGACCAGGTTGACTTGAGAAGATGTTATGTGTGTTATGTCTATTACTAACATGACACACTTTAAAACTCACCAGACCAACCAACTACCTCCACAACGCGGTCCCAAGCCTCATTCTTTGTATTTTGGTCTCTGTAACCGAACAGCGACACATTATAAAGGACTGAGTGGGCGCGAACGCAAGTTATAAACTTGTCGATATCCATTGTCGGAACAGGTGTGCTGTAGGAACTAAAGTTACATGGCTTGTTCTCTGGGACCTGCTTCATCGAAGCACGTCAGCATTCTGATTGGTTGCCGCCTAACGTCAGAGCTTACTACCATAAAGTTAAATGAGTTTTAACTCCCCTCCAGAGCTGCTCTGGTCGCTTTGGTTGCCCAAGACTGACGACCAGGTCCCCCAAGTCACTGGGCTCTCATTGAAAATGAATGACTTCTGCCGTTTTGGAAGCTCTGGTCGCTGTTGGTGTGAACGTACAGTTAAAATGCTTAACTTCTCCATATTTATCTCATAATGAGGGATGAAAGGAAAGATATCTGGCAGCTGTGATTGGTTGTTTCAAGTCACATGACATGCAGAGCACGTTCCTGCGTTCCAAAAATTTAACTTTCTCCGGGCGCAGCTGTCAAGCCCTGAAAAACAGCCGGTTGGAAATGTTTGCATGCTGCAACCGTCTTGCTCTCACTTTTAAGTGCACCTTCTGCGTGTCTATGTTGAAAACACTACATCTGAGGGTGCAAAAAATGCTGCATGTGATCGGGCCCTAAGGCAGAGTGAGCAGGTCATGCCTTCACCATCCTGGGGAAAAACATGCTCGGGGGTCTGGACCTTATAAAATATTGGTAGATAAACATGAGGATTAACAAGAGGATTAAGTGGATAGAAAAGAGGGAAAGTCCGACAACTTTACTGAAGTGCAGCACTAAAACGTTTGAGTGCCTCTTTAGTCTCTTTATACTCGTTAACTCTTAGCAGCCTTTTTTGATGTTTCACCACAGCAGAAGCAACTCTGGTATCAGCTTTTGGTATTTCCCTGTGGTCATGGCTGCCTGTTTAATATTCATGCCCCTCCTGTGGTGCGGATCATACATAAACAAGTAAATGGAAAAAGCCACAGAGACTGTACAGTGTATGAATTTGAATGCAGTGCTGTTTTCAACTGTGTTTTCAGGCAGTTTTAACCTTACCTGAAATGTACAGCCTCTTTAAATCAGGGCAGATCATTAAAGTGTGAGGAGTAGAGACACTTGATCAATCACATCTCACGAGTTTTGATCATACCAGCCTTCAGTTTTGCATGTGCACCCTATTAATGGTGCTTTTTTTCCTCCCTCCATCCCAAACATACACTCATCTCCAGAGCATGCCTCTCATTTAACATGCACTGGAGCCGTGCGTACGTTTCCTCCCCTGCTGCGTTGCCGCTTTAACGCCTGATTGGGAGCAGCAGGTCCAGTCGTGTAAATCTAAAGTCTCTGTTTTCCTGTTGCTTTTATCTCTCGCCGCTCCGCACTCACAGAAATATAGGATTCAGCTGTGAAAAGTACAATTCGCAACAGGCGTCGCTCTGCCATTTTGGCGTGATCTCAGTTTGATATCCGGGGGGGCAAAACGGCGACACGGGCGCTGGAAATGAACTCATTCGTTCCGCCGAGGCTTCCATCCAATTGGTCCCTGTCTCACTAAAACGGTCCGGTTTTCTCCGTCTCATTTGCCGTGTGTTCTTGACTGTGCGTGTGTGCATGTCCAGGTGTATGCCTCATGAGCTAACAGCATCGGATGCTGGGTAGATCTGGTTCGCTGCTGGCTCCCTCTGGCCTGTTACCATGGTGATCCCATCTGAGAATCAATAATTGTAAGTTGACAGGGCTGAAGTCCTCAAGCAGATGCACAGAGAGAAAGAGAGAGAGGAGGAAATGGTTTGTTGTGCAGTTTTTACAATCATATTAACATTTGTTTTGGTGTTGAGGAGGAAGTTGGTTTAGAGCAGGTTTTTGTCTGCAACACTTTGAAACTCAGGGGCTTTAAAAGTTGATGATATTCTTCTGTCACTTTTCAGCATTTTTCATATTATTTTACTGCAGTTGT